GGAAGAGATTGAACATAAACTGTGCACCTATGGATGAGAACAATGGGGCGTGGGGAAAGGGCAGAGGGTGGGGTGGAAACCTGGTAGAGGGGAGCAATGGAGGGGGGTCGGAAATGAGGAACATTTGTAATAATATGAACAATAAAGATTTATTTATTTTTTTAAAAAGAATTTAGAATAGTGCCTGGCACATTGCTGGCAGTCAATAAACATTCAGCTATTTGCACTTTAAAGTATAACTTATTTTCTACTAAAGTCAATAATCCAGTTTAGCACTCCAATCTTCTGCTTTCCATCCAAAAGGGTCCATCTTCTGTGACATCTCTTTTTTTACATAAACACCAGTTCTGGTTAGGAATACTGGCGTAAGTGCATTGTATACTTTGTAAATATTGCAGTAAATTCTGATTTATCTTATTAACAATTGAGACTACTCAGTAGTATTAGAAGTTTCACTATCCTATTTTGTGATTTCATCAATGTGGATTTTAGTTTAACTTAGTACCAAGTAAGTGTTCAATAAATATTGTCCAAATAATCCTGTTCAGGCTATCTTCTAGTATGTGAAGACCTATAGTTTGGAGATTTAAAAATATGAAAGTCCAATGTGTTTACTAGTTACTGCTTCAGCACTATAGTAATCTATCTGTTCTTGTTAAGCTCTCAGCAAAACGATGCCTATCAAGGCAACCCAAGGATTTTTTTCTCTCCTCTATCACTGGCCCTGCAGGATTAACTCCTAATTTGGTTAAGATTAACTCCTAATTTGGTTCTTTGATTTGGGTGATTTTTAAAATACTTCCTATACTTTAAAAAATTACTTAAAGCAGTTTTCCATTAAAGATATATACAATAAGACTGATAAAATGTTTAAAGATGAGAAGATTTATATGAAACATCTAGGTTCATATCTCAACAAGAAGAATTTTCAAGGTAACAAATTCAGAGAGATATTTATCTAACATTTCTTTAACTTAAGAAAATGGATCTACATAATAAGTGATATCTTCAACAATATTTTCATGAAATGTGCAGAAAGTTACCAATGACAAGAATTTATGTTTATTATATATTTACTACATACTCAAATAATCTTTATAAATGCCATGAATAAAATTCTAAAACTTTTAACAGAGTTGAGACTAAATATTGATTTTCTAACTCTAATTCAGAAAATTTACCTTTTTTTTCACTATATTATCTTATACCTACCATATATAGAGGAAAATTTGATTTTGTAATTATAGACATGTACATACATTCATGCAAACATATGTATAGAGCTTCCATAATTCACACACCACATACAAACACATATGCCTTTGCCATTACTAACAATCTTATTGAAGAGATGAGTCCTCTCAGTAAGTAAATATGACTCCCTTAATTCAATGATTAAATTCACACAGCATCTGTCAAGCTGATGATTTACTACATTTTGCATTGGTTACCTTTGTCCATTTCCCATGTTTCCATCATGTCATGATTTTTTGTTTGTTTGTTTCAGAATCTTTCTTGCAATCACTATACAACAATCAATGCCCAGAATGTGAAAAATAAATAAAATTGAGCCTATAATAAAACAGATCTGGAATTTTAATTTAATACCAGTCATCAAAAGTCTGGATCAATACATCAAAAAATAGAACTTATTCCTTTTCTCGTTTTATAAATGGAGATAGTTCTAAATACTAGTATTAGTTTTATTAGCTACATTAAAACATGAGGCATAGATGAAAAACAGTAGGCCTTGGGGTGTAATGATACCACTAGCTTTTAGCCCAGACAAGAAAACATCAACAAATTACATTGTTGGCACACTCAGAAGACTAGGAAACCAACCAACAACTTGCCTTTTTTTTCCTTTTAGTTACCTCACAAACCTGAATGAATACATTCATCAGCTAAATAGCCTTGTGTTATTTGAGATTAAAAATGTTGGATGTAACAAGTTATTCTCTTATTGCAAATAACTATTGAAAAGGCAGATATCAAAGGACTATAACCAAGTGATTCATTCAGGAGATTAAGGTATTTTCAGCAATTCCCTAAATTATGATCCTCTGATACTTCCTTTCCCAGCTTTTGCTTAGCCACACATCTAAATGAGTGGTTCTAAGTGTGGTCTCCAGAGCAACAGCCACAGATCCATGTGCGTGAACTTATTAAAAATTCTTATATCCTGTTGAGACCTGCCGACCCAGACCCTCTGGGAGTGGGGCCCAGGACTCATCTCTGATGAGTTCTCTAAGTCAGGGTTTCCCAAACTTTTGACATATGTGTACCCCTTCTATAATTTTCGTAACGCCGAGTACCCCTAGTACTCATGAGAACGTAGAATTAGGCACAGCTAAGCACAGTGCAGTGCATATCCCCACCAAACTCCGGTGCAACGCGTACCCCCACCAAACTCTTCCCGTACCCCTGGGGGTACACGTACCACATTTTGGGAAACACTGCTCTAGGTGATTCGGATGGTCACTAAAATTGGAGAACTGATCTGAATAAAAAAACTCCTCAAATTCTTTTTGCCTTTGATGCCTCGCTTTATTCCTCACTTACACCTTCATTCATAATTACCAACTCCTGCTTATTATAGATCTATTCATTGGAAACTGCACTCAAGCACAGTGTGAGGATGCTCTGTCAATCACTGCTGTGTTGGCTCAACAGAAAAACATCTCTGGATTCTCTGCCCCATCCTCAGCTGCAGCTCTGTGACTGCAGGGATGTGCAGCTTTGAGGGTCCATCCAACCGGCCGTCGTGACTGCTTGGCTCATTGGTCACAGTTCTGCACAAAACGCCTGCAGGCGTGTGCACTTGGTCCTCACGTTGCTCATGTCCCACCCTCTCTGCTGACTTGCCATGTGAATCTGCTGCTCACGCTGCTGAGATTGCCTCCTGTGGATGTTCAGTAACTTGTTTAATCAAGGAGGGTGGTCTATGTCACTATATGACCTTCTGCAGCGGACCCCTGTCTCATAGGGAAGCTTGGAATAGGAAGGGGGACTGGTAATTCCTCAGGAGGAGGAGCAAGGGCTGGCACTACAAAGGGTAAGCAAGTGATGCCCAAGCCCAGCACAGAGAGATGCAGCAGATAAAGAACTGGAGAGCAGTTTGGTTTTTAACAATCGTTTGCAGCTAAGGGAAGTGAGGCAAAGCATCACTTCCTGAAAACTGTCTTACATTCTTAGCACTTGCGTGCTAAGAATACTAACTTCTCCTTGGTTGGCTCCTTTCTCTGTCTCCACAAATCATACAACTATATTTGGATATGTCCAAAAATAATGAATTGGGCAAAGCAGATATCTTACTGTAGATGTTCAGTGAATTCATTATAATATGATTATAATATGGATATATGTAATATATGAAAATTACTGATTAAATTCCAATAAATTCTGGATAACATATTGCAAAATAACAAAATGCTATTTGTAACATGTCACTGATTTTAAGAAACACATCAATGGATTACTTCTACTGCATTTCACAACATTAACATGGTTTCATCCTACCTTTTTCTACTACTAAAATGCTCAATTAATAAGCCCACTCGGTAGTGGACTTAACACCTGTTGGTCAACCTCTGCTGCACTGGTGTCGTAATTCGAGGACATCAGCACCTCTTCCACAGCTTTCATATCAAAAACTGGAGTCAGGTGAAGCTGGTTTGGCTCAGCGGTAGAGCGTCGGTCTGCAGACTGAAAGGTCCCAGGTTCAATTCCGGTCAAGTGCATGTACATTGGTTGTGGGCACATCCCGGTAGGGGGTGTGCAAGAGGCAGCTGATCGATGTTTCTCTCTCATCGATGTTTCTGACTCTCTATCTCTCTCTCTTCTCTCTGTAAAAAATTAATAAAATATATTAAAAAGAAAAAAGAAAAAGAAAAAAACTGGAGTGAATGATTTACTATGAAGTTTCCAAAAATGCTCTTAACAGGATTTGGTGGATGAGGCTGCCTTTGGCTCTCTGTGTCCCCAACATCACTGGTGGACGGACCCTGCCTGTCCCAAAGTAGTCTGGCGCATGATGCAGCGGTGGGAAAGCTGGAGTGAAACAAGAAGTCCAGGAAGGAAGGCTCCCAGACCTAATGCATACCAGCTCTAATCTGCTGCCTTGTCTACAACCAGAGAAACAGTCTATGGTTCTGCATCGCAGACTCTAAGAAAACTCCCCCGACGTCTCTCTGCCCAGTGCAGTCTTGAGATAACCTCACTGTCATTTTGAATCAGTGCCGACACAGAGCATCACAGCCAACCATTCTCCACTGCGTGTTACAACAGGGAAAGGGGGGAGAAGTGTTAAGGTGTTTCTCTCTATATATATATTTTTTAATATATATTTTTTAATATATATTTTATTGATTTTTTACAGAGAGAAAAGGGAAAGGGATAGAGAGTTAGAAACATCAATGAGAGAGAAACATCAATCAGCTGCCTCCTGCACACCCCCCACTGGGGATATGCCCGCAACCGAGATGAATGCCCTTGACCGGAATCAAACCTGGGCCCCTTCAGTCTGCAGGCCGATGCTCTATCCACTGAGCCAAACCGGTTTCAGCTATATATATTTTATTGACTTCAGAGAGGAAGATAGAAACATCAATGATGAGAGAGAATCATTGATCCGCAGCCTCCTCACACACCCCACTGGGGATTGAACCTGCAACCTGGGCAAGTGTCCTGACTGGGAATCGAACAGTGACCTCCCGGTTCATGGGTCAACACTCAACCACTGGGCCACACCAGCCAAGTACTATATTTTTTAAACACCTTTGCAGAAGCAGGAAGCCCAGTTCCCAAATACTCAGTAAACAAATGTTTTAATCCTTAACGAACCGTAAGAGAGAAGCTCATCTCAGAACAAGCTGCCATTTCACTAAAATTGCTGGAAAGGTGCTATCATTGGTTTTAGGTGCTTCTTGCTTAATAAGCTCCTCTGACAGAACTTGATCTCATTTCTCTTGCCCCCAGATTGCTCGCAGGTGCTTGTTTACCTCCTTCAGGTCCTGCACCACGGCGGTCAGCCTCTCGTTCTCTGCCTGAATGTTAGTGACCACAGCCCGGCTCTGCTTCAGCTCGTTCTGCATCTCCAAGATCTTCCCCAGGTAGTACGCTTCCTTCGAGGCCGACTCCTGCAGCAGCGTCTCCTCCCGCGTCTCTCCATCCTCAGCTACTTTCCGGTGGATGGAGTAGGACTGCCCAAAGGCCTGCAGAGCATTTGCAAAGAAAAAAAGAGTTCACAATGAAATGCCCCAAAGAATGCTAGTACACAGGCTTAGGGAAATGCTTTGCTTGTAAGAAGAGCTGATCTGCAAGACATCCAGAAGCAAAACTACATTTTTTTTTTAATAGAACAGTCTAGCAGCTTTCATTGATATTTAAAATAATTCAAATTCAATTAATAAGGAAAACTAAATTTGAAATGTCTTGTTAAATACATATTGGGTTAAGGAAAACCTGAAAAACATTGCTGCTTAAACATTGTTGCTTGCTTTAAATTACCTTTTTTGTTTGTTTACAAATCCTAAGAAACAGATAGTTCAGTGCTAATGAGCCCATTTAAATCCATGTTCTCATTTTCATTTTAGAAAAAAAATCCCCAAAATATTTTTTAAGGAAGAAAGCAATAGTTTCATTAGCTTCCTAATATATTAGCAGTAAGGATACACCAATCTTGAGCAATACCCTTAAGACAAAATCATCAAACAGCATTCAAATTGCCTGTACCACAAAAAGACTTTGAAATATAGTCAATGTATAAGGAGACATATAGGTAGCTACTTATTTGTTCAAGAGGAAAAACAGAATAATAAATCAGAAACTAATGAAATTGGTTATATGCAGGAGGTGAGTGAGAAGGGGGTAGCAAGAATGAAGGAATGAAATGTGATACAAGGGGTGGGGGTGGTGCTTTTCTGAGTATGCCTTTCCATATAATTCTGACTCTGAGAACTAAAGTAATGTTTCACATACCTCCCCAATAAATGATAATTAAAGCCAACCTCTATGTGTCAGGGGAACCCAAATGGAGCACAACAACCAATGAGCCTGGCTGTATTGCAAATGAACAACATAATTACACTAAAAGGGGTGGAGGGGAAAAGACCTAATCTGAACAATTTTGGAAATCAGTATTTTTACTATATATTACAAAGCTAAAGACAAAACGAACCATACCCTAACACTACTGTCTAGTTCATATATTTTTTTCCTCACAAGAATTTAGAAATCACTATTCTGAAACTTTATGTTGTTGTTAATGCTCACCTGAGAATATTTTTCCATTGATCTTTTAGAGAGTCGAATAGAAATGGAAAGACAGAGAGAAATATCTATGTGGGAGAAACACACCAATTGGTTGCCTCCTGCAGGCACCCCAACCAGGGCCTGGGCCAGGGAGGAGCCTGCAATCAAGGTATGTGCCCTTGACCAGAATCAAACCAGGGACCCTTTGGCCCACAGGTCAATGCTCTATCCACTGAGCCAAACCGGCTGGGGCTGAAACTCCTTCAGACGTAAACAAGAGTTGAGCAAATAAGTAAATATAATACAGATAATGAAAGCCAGATCTCTCAGTGTTGGAGAAAGGAGTTGCAAACAAGGAAGAGGAGATGTCTAGAAGGAAACTAGTGGTATTGGGTTCTAATTAGAAGCATCAGGATGAACTTATAGCCTTCAATAGGTAGATAAATATTGAGAGATAGATAAGTAGATAGGCAGAGGAAGAGAGGGGTTTATATACATATACATACTTCCTAGTTTTGTCAACTGCGAGGGCATAGAAGTAATGACATACCAATGAGCAAACCTTGCACCAAAATTTTGTTCCTAAATATCAATCTCCAATGAAAAGAATTAGAGGTATTTAGAGAAAAGACCAATTCCTACACTAGAGCAAAATGAACTTGGTGCATCTTGTGATTCTAAAAGATTAAGTAACAAAATACCTTTTTTTTTTAAATAATGGGGCTATATCAGGAGACATAAGAGCCTACCTGAAGGGGCACCCCATGGCCAGAGATAATGTGGGCAACAAAATAAATATAGTAATGAAGTATAATACATGAGCAAGTATCCGCAAGTCCACACTCATATAATAACTGAATAAATGAGGGAAGAGAGAAACCAAGATGGCGGCATAGGGTAGACACCCGAATGCAGCCTACCACAACAAATTTTAATTTAGAACTGAAAAACAGGGGAGGCATTGCCCTGAAGCGCCAGACGGCTGGCTGAGAGGAGGCTCTGCCATCTGGGAAGGAGAGAGAAGGCACGCTGAACCTCAGGAACTGTGAAGGACTTTTCTAAGGCGAGACTGACAGGGAACCAAAGATTGTCTGCGCCACCCCGAGACCCCGCCCTATTCAAGCAGAGTACGGAAACCCTCCTAGCTGAGACACTGCTGATCCTCACAGCCAATTGGCTTGGAGATCAACGCTTCCCAGTGATACCAACAATAAGCAAGGCTTAACAACAAGACTGCACACACAGCCCACAAAGGGCTACACCAAGACTGTCCACTGCAGGTAACTGGGAAGGGTGTGCTACTGGGCTCTACCAGAACACCTAGCACACAAAGCTATTCCATCAAATCAGGGAAACAACTAAAATGCAGACAAGAAGAAGGACACAAAGGAAGGAGATGGAGGAAAAGAAAAGATTGGACATTGAGTTCAAAACTACAGTTATAAGGTTATTCAACAATATCCTAAAAAAGGCCGATAAAATAAATGAGACCTATGAGGATATGAAAAGGGAGCAACTAGAAATAATAAGGGATCAACAAGAAATGAAGAAAACATTGTCTGAAATAAAAAATATTATACAAAGTCCTAAAAACAGACTGGAAGATCGCAAGAATCAAGACAAAGATTTAGAACACAAAGAGCCAGAGGACACTCCTCTGCAGAAGGGAGAAGATAAGAGAATCCAGAAAGTTGAAGATAGTGTAAGAAACCTCTGGGACAATTTCAAGCGAACCAACATCAGAATTATGGGGATTCCAGAAGAGAGAGAGCAAGATACCGAAAGAGTACTAGAAGAAATAGTGACAGAAAACTTCCCCCACCTGGGGAAAGAAATAGACTTACAAGTCCAGGAAGCCTGCAGAACCCCAAACAAAAGGAATCCAAGGAGGACCACATCAAGACATATCATAATTAAAATTCCAAGAGCAAAAGACAAAGAGAGAATATTAAAAGCAGCAAGAGAAAAGCAGGTAGTGACCTATAAAGGAGCACCCATAAGATTGTCAGCTGATTTCTCAACAGAAACCATGCAGACCAGAAGGGAATGGCAAGAAATATTCAAGGTGATGAATAATAAGAACCTACAGCCAAAAATAATCTACCCAGCAAAGCTATCACTCAGAATCAAAGGACAGATAAAGAGCTTCACAAATAAAAAAAGCTAAAAGAGTTCATCACCACCAAACCAGAATTATATGAATTGCTGAAGGAGGTTATTTAGGAAGAGGAAGAAGATAAAGATAAAAATTATGATCAACAAATACGTAGCTATCAACAAGTGAATCTAAAAACCAAGGGAATTTAAAAATCTGATGAACAATATTAACTGGTGAATATAATAGAATCAGAGGTATAGAAGGGGAGTGGACTGACGATTCTCAGGAAAAAGGGGAGTGGGGGTGCGGGAAGAGACTGAACAAAAACTGTGCACCTATGGATGAGGACAATGGGGGATGGGGAAAGGACAGAGGGTGGGGTGGGAACCTGGTGAAGGGGAGCAATTGAGGTGGGGAAGAGGATCACATTTGTAATAATCTGAACAATAAAGATTTATTTTAAAAAATGCAAAAAATAAATAAATAAGGGAAGAAATAGCTCTTATAGAATTCTAATTAATAAATTTGAAGGAATGATAGAAATAAAATATATCAGCGACTGGCAAACACCAAGTAATAACTGTTTCAGGTAAGAATTATCAGTGGACTATAAAATTAACAGACAAAAACTATGATGAGAAACAGGACATCTGCACAGTTTTAAAGCATCTTCTCCCAATAGTTAGACTACAAGCAATGAGACATATTGATATAATATGTACCCTCTGATATAATACACTGAGAGAGCACAGCATTGCTTCTGTGATACTCTTGCCAAACACACATAAGCCAATTCTTAGCATAAAGAAATAAAATAAACCCAAACTGGGCGACATTCTACAAAATTACTGGCCAGGACTCTTCCAAGTATTGAAGTTATAGAAAAATAGAGAAAGACTCCTGCCAGACTAGATGAGAATAAGAAAACATTGTCATGTTTTTTGTTAATGAAAACATTAAATGCACTGTAGGGTCCTGGACCTACAAAAAGACATTAGTAAGACAATTGGCAAAACTGAAATAAATGACTTTTATTGGTTAATATTATTATATCAATGTCCATGTTGTTTCCATAATTAGATTATAGTTATGTAAGATGTTAACATTTGGAGAAGCTATGTAAAGGGCACAATGAAATTCAGGGTAATGTTTTTATAACTTTTTTCTGGGTCTAGCGCTATTTGAAAATAAGTGAAATCTCTGCCCTAAAGAAATTGATAGATCTGCGAAAATACTGGCACACAGGGTTATAAAAAATGTATGTGCACAAACTCCAAAGGGATACTATATTCAGTTAGAAGTACTATGGCTTTATTATGTAACCTGTGCTATTACATTTTGAAATTTTAAAATGTCATAAGATGATGCTTCTGGGCTATGTATAGTCCATGAGGAAATAAGGCAAAAATGAACCTTTGAAACTCAGTTTCACATTTGTTACAAACCTGAAGGCAGGAAGGTATGTTAGTCATTATAAGGACATTGTAAAAGTCAGGAGGAGACGGCTGGATTTAGTGATTCCAAAGACAATCTGGTACTCTTCTCCAAATTAAACTCATAGAAACAGAAATTAAAAAAAAAAAAAAAAACTAATCTGAAAACCCATGTCTCAATAAACTATCCCCCTTAAAATCTCGACATGAGCCGAAACCGGTCTGGCTCAGTAGATGGAGCGTCGGCCTGCGGTCTGAAAGGTCCCAGGTTCTATTCCGGTCAAGGGCATATACCTTGATGGCGGACACATGCCCAGTGGGGGGTGTGCAAGAGGCAGCTGATCGATGTTTCTGACTCTCTATCCCTCTCCTTTCCTCTCTATGAAAAATCAATAAAATATATATTTTTTTAAAAACTTTAAAAAAAAAT